GGGCAAAGGGGAAAAATACAATTATTCCTTCCGTTAAGAAATAATAACTGACTGCCTTCTATGTACTAGAAATTATCTTTGATAATGAAACACAGGAAAATGTCCTTGCCCTCATGGAGCTTAAAGTAAATTGGCAAAGACTGACAATGGGCAAATGCACACAACAACATAGAACATTGTATCTGTGAAAGAGAGAGGCATACAGTGCTCTGAAATTCCATAGTAGGAAAATCCATCTAGCTCTTTTTTTTTTTTTTTTAGAGGTGGAGTCTTGCTCTGTCTCCCAGGCTGAAGTGCAATGGCGCAATTTCGACTCACTACAACCTCCGCCTCCTGGGTTCAAGCAGTTCCCCTGCCTTGGCTTCCCCAGTAGCTGGGATTACAGGCGCACGCCATCACGTCTGGCGTAAAAATACAAAAAAAAAAATAATAATTTTTGTATTTTTAATAGAGCTTGAGATCTAAAGAACTGAAGACTGAATAATAGTTAATAACAGTTAATCAAATCTTCCTCTAAGTATTTTAGGAAAGAATATGCTAGGCTATGATAAAGTATTAATTAAAAATAAATTCTAGAATTTACCTGAATAATAATAACCACTTTATAAGAACAATTGAAATACAACTAACTATGTCAAGTGATCACCGTAAAATACCAAAAAGATAGTTCTTTCAGGTTTTGAGAAATCGACATGTATGATGGCAGCATAGCAGTAACAATTGTTACTATTTGTGCTATATTGTCAAGCAGTATTCACGAGATTTTCCTGGAAATAGTCTGATGGACTGTAAGAGTCACATATGTAGTCCTTAGTTTTACAGTGTTTGAATCAGATTTGGTTAAAAGAATCTGGAATTTATCAGTGCCACATGCTATCATAAACATTTACCTTGACCCTCACTTAGATAAAGGAGTTTTTAATGTCTAATTTAGGTCGTTTTTGTTGACTTGAATTTTAAAGCTCATTGAGAGTGGATTTTCCTTCATTCCCTGCAATATTAAGAAATAAATTGCCTTTGTTGCTATTGCATGTGCATTCATTCAAATAAACAGGGCAATTTATGCAAATATAACTGTTTTACAAAACCTCATCATCTGAGAAAATCATGTTACAGTTCTCTTTGAAAGTTCAACAAGGAACAGCATCCATGCATATTTAAATCTGCCGGACTACACTTGAAAGAATAAGTATTGAGGTTTTCTTTCACAGCTTAGTGAAAATGTGCCTAGACTTCCATGTTTTAAACAATTACATGGCCTCTGTTAAAGGATGGCTTATTTTCTCTGACATCATTGTCTTGGTTTGTTCTACCAGTAAATAATGAAGAGGCGCTCATCCGTGCACTGTGACTGTGTGCATGGTGGAGATGCTTTAGGCTCTGGTTTATAAGTAGCCTCTGCCTCAGGATTTAAGTCTAAAGTACATTTTGAAGCTAAAGCCTTTTAAAAGGGTGAGGCCCTTTAGAGAGGAAAAGAATCACAATCTTCAAAGTCAAACCGTTCAGAAACAATGGAAGTAAATGCTTCCAACCTGCCAGCAGTACACAGAAACAACACCACTGAGTCTATGCACCCTCTCTCTCTTTTTGCTCTCTCTCTCTCTCACACACACACACATATATACACACACATACACATATTCTACATACATAGGACAATGCAAATAGCTCACTTCCTTTTCTTCATATCCATCTTACATCGTGACAGCATGTTAATAAGAATAGAAAGAGCTTTAAAAATAACCCTCTAATTACAACTCAAGGCAGATAACATCTATTACTCAAGTTATTTTCAAAGTTTTCAGACTCAACCAACCAGTCTCCTTATTTATAGGGAGCCAGTGTGATGCACTGTAATCAGATATTGCTGGGTATTAAATGCTTCCCCATGCACCATCTTACATATTCTACCAACCTGGTGAAGCAGAAATCATTAATTTCATTCTTTCTATGAGGAAGTTTAGGCTTGAAAAGTTAAAACCTGTGTCAAAATAGCTAAAATAAGAGAGTGATGGAGTCCATTATTCAAATCCAGGTCTTTCTGACACCATAACCAGTGTGCTTATTTATTTTTGTGCCACATCACCTCACGTACCCATAAACATTGGGTTTGTATCTTTTGTGAGGGTGAGTTTGCAGGTAAAGAAAAAAGTGAACATTCAAAATTACCCTGGAGAATTCCCTAACCATGTATACTGTCCAGAAATTCCAATAGATAAATTTTTCTTTTATATTGTTATTTTTTTGGAACTGGAATATAGATTATTTCTTCAACTGAACATCAGAGGAAGGAGATGGATTCTTTTTAGAGGTCATGGGATGTGTGTCTTTAAATACCAGAATCACCTTTGCAGCAGCAAGATGCACGCATTATGAGAGGCCCACAGAAATGAAACTCACTGAATGTATTTCATGTTTGCTCTAGGCCATACAAACACTGAGTAGACTTACTCCACATCATTTAAACTAATTTCCTCCCTTTCTTTCCTTTCTTTCTTCCTTTTTTCTAATTGAAAAGGAGGGGTATTTGCTAAGCACATAAGTTCATGTGTCTAAATCACTTGCACATGTGATATAGTTCCAATGCATTTTATTATAAATACATACCAGATATCATAATACATATAAAAGAAGGATACTTATTAAATACTTTTTATAAATACATGCCAAATACTATAATATGTATAAAAGAAGAATACTTATTAAATACTTACTATATATACACAACAAATACCATACTACTTATTATTAATACCTTGAAGAGGTATTAATTTTCAAGACATCACCTAAACATTCACTGTTTCCTTGCATTTCTGTAGCACCAGCTGGCTTTTTAGCTACTCCCATCCTCAAGGGGAAAGGCTCTAGGATGGAAAGATTTCATCCAAAATGGCTGCCACTGATAGAATCTTTATTTTTTAGCTGGGGCTTTTCAACATAGGATTAGCGAAAAAGATGAGCTAGGGAGTTCAGATCATATTATAAGAGCTTCTCCTTTTAGAAGAGTCATTATATATAATAGCAAACTCAGATATTAATGTCTTAAGTTTCCACCAAATGACACCAGGAATAAACAACCATGTGAAAGTCACTGTTGACCTGTCTATAGAATATAGTTTTTTATACAGACCCAGAGCAAACATCTGTCTTGATCCCAAGGCAAGGAATAATCAACATGATTTTGACCTCATGAACACTGTAAATCCTGTAACAGAATGGGCAGTGTTCTTCCTTTGCTTCATCCACTTTAAACTTGAGTGTTAAATTTGAGGCTCACTTTTAACAACGATATAGTGCAAAATGGCATCTGCCCTTTATCTCTAAGCTTTATCTTACTATTTTACCCATATTTTCTTTTCATCTTATTTTGTCTATTTTATTCTATCCTGATATTTTAGATATTTTTCTAAGTCAGCCTCCAGCCTTAGTTTGATCAAGGCAGGATTCAGAAAAACAAAGAAAGAAAGAAAAACATAGGCATCAAAAATGATTAGATACCTCTTTGGGGATTTATGAAGTCAATTGTTAATGAGTCCTATAAATCACAGCATACCACAAGGCCAGAGTTAAGATTTCTTTCCTAATCAGAAAGTTTCTAACTGAATTGTAGCATAAATGTGTCCCTTAGGAATGTAGCACCTGGGGCCATAGTAGAAAATGAGACAGACATGGTCTCCTATAGTCATGAAGATTAGATAGAAAAACAAACAAACTAACAAACAAGAAATTATACTAACCTGTGATAGGTGCTGTGGGAGAAGACACTAGAAATGTAAGACCAACCCAGCAAAGCAAAGGAAGTTTTTGTGAGTGTTGCATCTGAACCCAGAAATGGTGGTTAGAGCGAGACTTGACAATGATTAGAAGCTATCTAGTCAGCTGTGTTAAGTCAGAAGGAAGAGAATAAGAATCTCACAGATCTTCCCAGATCTCCTGTGAAGTTCTGAAATTACAGCTAACAATGCACTGAATTAAAAACATGAGATTTACAAACAAGCCCTAGTTTCTTTATTTTAGCATCATCCATATCCGGAAGCACTATATTTCAGAGTATATCTGTAATCTGACAGTCAAATACTCAAAGCTGTATCTTCACAATTTATGACATCTTTCCTCCTAACATGGAGCTCTCTTTCTATTGCTTTGCTTGTTTGTTTGCTTTTATGGTCAGTAAACTGTTCTGGTAAATAACAATTTAAATTGCATGAAATGCTTACAACACTGAGCACCCCCAATTTTAACATAAGAACAGTATGGGAATATCTAAGCATACATATTTGTATGTATTTACCATATCCAATACATCCATATGGGGAAACCCAAATACTTACTGTCAAAATTTTTAAGTGAGAGAATTTTGTCTCATTTTTCAAAATCTGCCCACTGGAAGACAGCTGGCCAAATATTTGAACCCATTACCTCCAATCTGAGCTAAATAAACAAACGTTAAGAGAATCCTCTCCAAGTGCTGCTAAAGAGAACTGTCTCAAAATAATCTCAAGTTTGAAAGACTGTTTGTCTAAATACATTCTACTGCCTGGATAACTTATTTACTTTTGTTTTGGCCAAGTCATTCAGAGGAATTGCAGGTATTCTTCAAATCAAAGTGGCACCGTGATTGCATTCACATAATTCTAAATTATTCTCTCCATTTTGGAGACAGGCAGAGAGGAAGAGTCTTCATGGGGAGGTACATCCAGCCACATTTTCCCATGTTTTCATACACAGGCTAGAATCCACCCTATTACCCATTAGGCAGAAGTAAGATATACACTTTTTTTCTTCATTTATTCTATTAGTACTCAAGGGATCTCAGTTTCACAACTTCGAAAATCTCTCCAAAAACAACAAAGTCTTACAAATGAAGACGTTACAGGTGTAACTCACAGGACTCTGGGAATGTAAGAGTCTGTAGTGTTCATTTAATAAAGTCTGAAGAGAACTCTACAAGCCACAGACATTTGAAGAGAGCCAACTTGATCAGAGCAATCTCATCCTACCTGCCTCTTTGGAAATCTGCGTGAAGGACTCCACACCTTTCTCTCCATAACTTCCTTCAGATGCGAGAGTAGACACATAATTCCAGCCTAGGGCCTTTACAATGTCTACCATGGCCTGGGCTTGGAAGGAATCGGGTGGCACCACGCGAGAGAAGAAGTCGTAGCGCCGGTCATCACTTAGCTCAGGTGCCGTTGATGCATAACTAATCTGGGGGATCTGTAAAGACAAGAAAGCACCACATGAGAGTACGCCATCAGGATATAAGAGACTCACTTATATTTTGACAATTTACTTAAAATACAGGGCTGCAAAGGGGATATATGTATTGCCAAACACCACCATGTAATTTTAGACCACCTAAATGCAATCATCTACTTCTTAGCAGCACGAAAGTATTGATATTGACTTTAGCGTCTTGCCTTTTTATTTCCTTCTCTTAGGAATAAGGGAAGGAGGTTAGCATGGGAATTCCAAGGTCCGGGTCATGGTTGTTGAGAAGAAAAAGATTTATGACCATTGTACCAAACATGGTGAATCATGCTTTACTACTTATACACCAATGGAAATAAAAATACAACAACCTGGCTGGAGTGTATATAAAGATTGGTATAGTTGACACAGCTTGTGAATACTGGGTGGATATCATTAATCATCTAACATTGATTGATTGCGGTGGTCTCCAAGGAAATATCTAAGTAAGTCACAAGCATTATCTAATTTATTCTTCACAAGAACATTTTAAAGTAGCTCAGTAATACCCTTGGCCCCAGGCAAGGGAAATTCCCCACCCCCGAGGCATTTACTCTAGTGGTCTTTGCACATTGACAGGCTTTCCTCAAAATTTTCCTAATTTTCTATTGGATTCTGGGAGAGAGCTGGCAGTACTGTCTGAGTAGAGTCCACAAGGGCCTCTGATTTCTATCTTTTTCCTTCAGAGGACTCTCTGACCTCTACCCCACATGGCATTCACCAAATGTCCTGAAGAGCTCTAGAACTTTTGCCTATAAGGATCATCTTAGGACTCCACAGACCCCTTGAAAAAAATCAAATTATCTCCCTCAGCTGCTGTAGTATTTATTTCTTAGGATCATTGGAAATTGGGCTATGTGAGTAGTCCTAACACATCTACTTTGCTAAATTAAATTATATATATGAAAAGAGCTGCAAAAACATGTCTACCTGGGGTCTCAGGTAGCCTAAGGCCAGCCCAAAGTAATCACAGATGAGAAATCTGGCTAAGATCCTAACTTCAGAACTCTTATGCTAGTTACCTCTTCAAAGCATGGTAACATTTGTCCCCTTCTTTGTCTTAATTCTATCAAGCAATCGATAATGAGTGGCACAATTAATTTTCACGTAAGAATGATCAACTCTGACAACATTCTGCTTACAAACTCTCCCAGGACTTATCCCTGCATTATCACAAAAGGTTTCTCGGGTGTCCAAAGGCCAGTTGATCCTTTCTCAGACCAAGCCCAAAAGTCCAGTGTAGCTCAAATATGGTAAAGCCACGCTCAAGTTGATTCATCGAGCCCTGAAAATTCTACTATTAACCTATTTATTTCCTTCCTTTGTAGTTTGCCTAAAGTGTACCCATTTGCCATCATTTAAGGCTAGTTATCGCCTCCGTAAAGATCGTTTCTCCACCAACATTTCTAGGTCAGCATTAGAGTTAAGTCCTGTGGCCCTGAAATCAGACGACCCGCCATTTTCCATGCAGCCTTTTCATGATGCAGTTCTGCTCTATGACCATTGGAGGGCAGGCTTTCTGCCCCTGACTTAATTCAAAGCCAGTGTGAGAAAGCCTGCATGTCTCCTGATGGGTCTTTTTACCTGAGCAACTTCTCAATTACAGTGAGGTTTAGTGCAAAGTAAAATAGGATTTGGTATTGACAAGACATAGGATCAGAGTTTGGCATTTCTGTTTGCTAGTGTTTAATTTGATGAAGCTATTTCACTTGAATGAGTTGGTGACATCACTAATAACAAGTTGTTCTGAGAAACAGGGAAAATGAATGTGCATTGCTTTGCATGATGCCTGCAACAGAGTGGGTGCTTAATATATGGGGGTAATAATCATCCAAAATAAAGAATGGTATATTTTTCCTTACTAAAGTTATCGATTCCCCAATTTGACTTCCAAGTTCTCTGCTGTACGTCATCACGAACATTCTTCACATTGCCCATGGCAATAAAATATTTTTACATATTCCTATCATTACTGATTTCAAAATAATATGTACTGTTTATCCAACTCTTTATTTTGTACCAGTCATGTTCTAAAAGTTTTATATGCATTGCTTTATCTAATCGTCAGCAAATTCTGTGACCCGTACTATACAATATTACATGAGACTATATTATAGTATTATAACTTGTTTTACAAGGGAGAAAATTGAGGCTTGGAAGAATATTACCTTGCCTCAGGTCACAAAGCTATAAAACACTCACAACTATGATGCTTTGATGAATTATTACTAAAATATTTTTTAAATAAGCATTAAATAGGAAGGCCAGTAGATTAATGGAATCCAGGCTGACTTCTGTTCACATCACTGACTACATAGCCACTAAAAGTTATTTTACTGGTCACTCTTAGACTGCTGTTCAAACTCCTTATATAAGTGCCTCAGCAAAGCTTACACAAATATCTTAATAGAATGAGTTACCTATGTGTCGATTGTAGTTTGGAGGTTATAAGTTTTAGGTAACAAAAATATCAACTGAATAAAGGCTTTGGACAGAAATAGAGAAGAGGGAGGAAAAGAGGGAGAAAGAGAGAGACTTTCCCTCACAAGAAATAAAAAGGAAAGAAGCCAGGCATGTCAATACATTTCCATCAATTTCAACTTGTGGGAATGTAAAAGCTTCATGCTGTTGCACAGATGTCTTTCCTGCCAAAATCCCTCTGTACCTTTGAAAGGGTGCTAATAAAGATACATCCAGCCCTCTACTTGAATTTTCATTTATGTAGCTGCTGTAAAACCTCAGAATTGTGAGGTGCCCCAATGCAATGCATTTTCTACACTGTGCCCCAAATTTTACTAACGAAAATCCTGAGGAAACAGATTTCTTTCCTCATTACTGTGCACCTTTGAAAATGATCAGTATCTGTGGTCTATCCCTTCCAGTGTAAATAAGGAATATCTCCTGGCTTAAGACCCATATTTTTCTTTAGGATCATGCATATACCCTCTATCCAATGGTACTTATTTTGACACTATGAATATAATGATGCAAGCATAAGGAATGAAATACAAAATGGATTTTATTCTGAGATAAAAATGTAGCTTTATAAGGATATCCCTTGTAGCAATAGAGATGAAGGACTGGAAGAATTTATGTAACCTATGAAATATGATGTTGCCTATTTTCCTAGCTATTATGCTTCATGTTTAGTTACTTGCTTTCAAGTTAACGTTAAAGCCTACATAGTAATTATTTTGAGTGCTACTACTGGTACCTACAACTGATCAAATGATAATTAGGCATCTTTAGCAATTAATTTCTATTTTCACCCAAATATCTAGATATACTTTCTCTTGCTGCTATTGGACCTTTTCTCTCTTGCCAGTGTTCTTTGGAAATGGAGACTTGATCTTTTGATAAAGACAATTTAGTGCGATAACATTCCAGCTATATAAAACGAGATATTCCATCTCTTCTTAGGCCTTTTTTCTTGAACTTAGAAAACTAAAATACTTTTAATTTTTATCACAGGACCACACTGTCATCTTATTATTATTTTCTCTTCATAAAAATTTGCCTGTTGCACAGGAATGGTTTTGTTATGAGTATCAAATAGGATTTTAAAACACCTATATTCTATTTAAAATAAGTGTATGCTTTTTAATGAAAATTAACAACATATATTAGAGAAATAAACACAAGAAAGCAGGTTAATTTTAATGCCTTGATCCCTGTCAACATTTTGCTGTATCTCTTTACTGTTTTGTGTGTATATTTCGTTATGCACACATACTGATATAGTTAGGCTTTGTGTTCCCACCCAAATTTCATCAAGAATTATAATCTACATAATCCCCGTAATTTCCACATGTCCAGAGACTAGGTGGAGGTAATTGGATCATGAGAGCAGTTTCCCTCATGCTCTTCTCATGATAGTGATTGAGTTCTCACAAGATCTGATGGTTTTATAAGGGGCTCCTCCTCCTTTGCTTGGCACTTCTTCCTGCCGCCTTGTGAAGAAGGTGCCTTGCTTCGCATTCTCCTTCCACCATGATTGTAAGTTTCCTGAGACCTCCCCAACCATGCTGAACTGTGAGTCAATTAAACCTCTTTCCTTTATAAATTACCCAGTCTCAAGCAGTCTTTATAGCAGTGTGAAAAGAGACTACTACACATATATAATTATTGTTATGAGCTTATAAATATTATTTATTATTAAAATATGGACCTTAGTCTCCCCTTCCCTTCCTTCCATCCTCCCTTCTTTTTTTCTCTTTCTTTCTGGTTGCATAATATTCTGCTGTATGAATATTTGACCTAACCTAAACATAACATTCATTGTTAAATATTTAAACCTTTTCAAGTTTTCACTGTCATAAGTCAAAACAAAATCCTCAGAGCTAATGCAAGTCTTTATACATACTCATGAGTATTTCCTCACAATAATGTTTAAGTCACTCTACCTCAACGTGACAGAAATATTTGAGGTTTGCATTTACATCTTTCTCTACATGGAAATTACTTTGGGCTGTTAAATACAGAGGAACAGTAATCTATACTTTTTTCCCTTCCAAATGGTTAACTACTTGATTTAGCACCATTTATGAATTAATCATTCTTTAATGACAGAAAAGCACACCTTTTGTTCTATATTAAATTCTTAAACATTCTTAGGTCTTCAGGGTGTATCTTCTACTATTTCATTTTTTTTTTCAAGTTTTGGGCTTGAAAATAGTGTTTTACTATTTTAGCTGTTATGAACTTAAGAGTACTTTGAGACTATCTTAGTTGCAACATACTCACTCTTCATAGCTGTTCTTTTAAAAATGATCATGGATAATCACGTTTTTAATTTTCTTTATAAGCCTTAGGATAATTATTTTTAGGTTAACAATAAAATTCCATTAAGATTTTGATGAGAATTATACTACAGCTATAAATAAATTTGGGTAGAATTTAAATATTTACAACATTTTATCTCCCCCCAGGGGGAATTATCTATTTTTATCTATTTGGTTGTTCATTCT